AGGACACCGCAAAACAACTGGGGACACCCTTCCACCACCGCCCCCAGCGACAAATATACTTTCACATAGCAAATCAACGTATGCCTGCCGCCTGGCGTTTATTTGTCAGCTCATTCTGGTGTTTTATGGCAACCACGTGTTCGGCGCATGGTGACGCTGTGTTGCATCCGCGATGTGCTCCAACATCATGTAACAACTCCGTCTGGCACCGTCGACACAACAATACTTCGGAAAATGCAAATGGTTCCGCCTCACACATTTCGCAAACGACAAGAAATGCCATACAATACGAACGCGTAAGATCTTGCTTTGCATCAAATGATTCTGGTCTTCCGGCGACAGCTAGACAATTGTCCGTGAACGCTACCTTATACGTCGATTGTGATTCCGGGTCATAATTATACCGTGCCCTTCGGCAAGCCTCAACCCAAACCGTTAAGAATGCATTCGCAAGGGCCACAAAGGAGTAGGTTCTTGCATACCGACATGGAAATTCGGAATCATAATAACAATAATAGAGTTCGTGGCGCCAACCGTAGGGTACCAACTGTCGGGCACCAAACATAAGGCACCAACCATGGAGCACCAACCACAGAGCACCAAACATAAAGCACCAGACACAAGGCACCGACCACAGGGGCACCAACCATCGAGCACCACCCATGAGGCACTAATCGCGACAGCGGGCCACAAGGGGCCACTTCCTTACAGCACACATTGGAGCCCCTAAATGCAAGCACTGCTTTGGGAACATGGTTTTGGTAGAATTCGCTGCTAAATGTGCGATTGTAGTGCGTGGCCATCTGCCACGGAATGCTGTGGTATTGTCGTGGCGCATCTTTTTTGTAACCCCGCAGCCTTTGCGCACAATCGGGAAGCATCCATGGCATAGCATGACGAAGAATGTGGGCACAGATGCACGAGCAACCTCCTAAGTCAGAAACACATGAGCGTGCCAACTCAGACTTTGTAGGCATTCACATTTTGAACAAGCGCAGACAATGAACGCAATGGCCAGAAAGTGTGGAAATCACCGTGCAGAAACGACGATCCGGCCAACGCACAACTATAGAAATCCCCACGGTTATCACATCCCCCCAAGCACGGCAAGCCGACGACGACGACGAGCACGAAGACGACGATGACGAGCGGTGCTCCAGCTCACTTCCCGCCTTCCACCAAGCACGGAAAACAGAAACACTGGCGCAGAGGGTGCTCAGCTTGATTGCCGCTGACTGTTCAAAGCCACTTTTTAGACTAGAGACTTCTCGTATTCTGGCCAGGCCCTGCTTGCATTCGGCCCCTGGACCTCCCAAGCAAATCATCGTCAACCTTCTTGGAACTACCGCCCGCAACCAAGCATGCAAATAAGCATGAGTGCCATACCGTGAACGATACTCAAATAATTGGTTGGTGGGAAGCGCGACACGTCAATGATCCCAGGAGCCGAATAAGTGTAGAATCTTCAGTGTATCAAATCTTCCGAGACAAGATAACACTTCTTTGTCGTTGGGGGAGACCTCCTCCCCTCACCCCTCCCGGGTGTCTGGACCTCCGAGGCCGCCAGGAAGGAGGCACCCAAGAGCCCTGTAAGAGGACCCGCCCCCGAGAGGCCCCCAATAGACCTCCAGGCATTTCCCAAAATGCCCCCCAAAGGCCCCCAAATGGCCTCCGAGAACCCCGCCAATAAGCTTCTGTTCCTCAACCCGGGTACGGCGGAGGGTTGGGCCTAAAACCACCAGATCCGCCGCCCCCTGTGGCTTGGCAAAGGGGTGCACGGCGTGCCAAATGTTCAGCAATTTTTTGTTCTTTTGAAAGGTTCGCAATGGCCTTCGGCCCAACCCGACCGGCAACCTGGAAAGCTCCGCCAGACCCGTAAGGGCCCGTAAACTTCCCAGGTCGTCGGTCCTGCCGCTCCAGACGGCTCTCAGAGGGCCTCCAGGACGTCCAAGATGGTGTCCAAGACGGCCTCGATGGCCCCAAGAGAACCCAAAAGGGCTCCAATATGGCTCCACGGCGGGCCACGATGGCCCCAAGATCGCCCGAGACTGCCTAGGAGGCCTCCAAGATGGCCTAAGAGGCATCTGAGAGGACCTCCAGGAAGGCCCGCAGAGTTCAAACTCATTAAGTGTCCTTCAGTTTTCGAAGTATACGTATTCTGGCGCTTGCTCATTTTCGGCTTTCCGACAATCCGAGACGGCACCAGAAGCCACCAAGATGGCCCCCAAAGCGCCCCTGAGGCCTCAGAGACGGCCCCCTGACGCCCAAGTGGCCCTCAAGATAGACCCAAGAGGGCCTCAAGGCGCCAGGCGACTTCCAAGACGACCAGGATGGCCTCCAAGACGGCCCCGAGCACCCCAAGAGGGCTCCAACTTGACCCAGAGAGGCCCCCAGGACGGTCTCCGATAGCGTCAGACGAGCCAGGAACGCTCTCAGATGCCGAAGTAGCCTCCGAAGGAGCCTCCGAAGTCCCCTAAGAGGTCCCCCAAGAAGCCTCCCAGAGGCACCCAGGAAGCTCCCAGGAGGCTCAAAGAGTGACCCAAGAGACTCCCAAGAAGCCTCCTTCTTTTTCCTGCCTCTCCTCCTCTTCTTCTATTTTCCCCACGTAGAACGGTTTCCACAACAGCTGGTGGAACGCTTAGTCCGACAGCTTGGCCGAGCTCTGCCAGCAACGTTCAGCCATGTAGGCGCTTCCAAAAATGTCAGGGGCTGCGGTGATTCGCAGTAGGGGTCTTCGATCATACAGGGTTCGTCTCTTTTTAGGTCCCTGATTTTTCAGCATGGCTCCCACAAAGGGCTCACTCGGGACCCATTAACTTTCCCCAAACCTCAAACAGCCCAAACATTAAGCCAAGAAACATTCGTAGAGCCCCACATTGGCAGTCTTAGCGGGCCGAAGAGCTTGGTCCTTCCGCGGGCTTGATGGGCTACATCTCCGTCGCTACTCTTCACCTGCACCCCTCCTCACGGCAACTCCCCTTGATGCGCGGAGCGTCAAGAACTGTAGCGGGCTTCCTTTCCCGATATCCTGCCTGCCAGGGGCCCGATGCCCCCAGGCGAGCAGCCAGCCTCCCCAAGGGCGATGGAAAATCAGCCCTGGCAAGCGGGGATCTCTGCACCATTCTCCATCTTACCATGTTTCGGGAGTCCGGCCCGCTTGATGCCTGAACCTATCCTCTCTCTCTCTCTCAAAAGCTTCTCTCCCGAGGGGTCGGGCGCCGAATCCAATTACGGACCCCACGGGCTTGCCGAGCACGCCTCCGGAAAGATACCCCCCGCTGGCCTTCCTGGGGTGCTCCAGTGATCCCTCCACTGGCCTTCCTGGGTGTACCTGAACCTCCAATGTGTTCGTGCAAGCACCGTGTAAAAAAAAAACAGGCACGCTTCTCTCTTGGGCCCAGATTCGTCAAGTTCTTCGACTGGCGTCCGACCATTGCGGTGAAGGGCTCGCAAGGGGACGCACATGCACATCATGGAGAGCAGTGGCAGATAACCCCTCCAGCGAACACTTCGTAGGTGGCGTAGTTAGAGCCAGGGGGCCAGAGTTTGAAGAGATACTGGTGCCGCGGGGCACGCTCTCGAGGAAGCGCAGCTGCGGGAACACGTCCTGGGGTTTCGACAGCAATACGGGATCCACCAGAGTATGTAGAGGTTGCGTTGACAGCCCGGAATTACTAGTGGCCGCTCATCTGCCAGAAACCAACAGCGCCATCGTGCCACTCGACACAAAGCGAGGAGTCCTGCGGTTGACAGCGTAGGATTGGCCTGTCCGATGCGACCCCGCGCGCCAAGGGCGGCAGCCAGGCATGCGGCCGCAATCTCCGTGGCGGAGAGGCCGCCGGCACATGGGGCCTGCCAGCCGCGCAGGGGTCGCAGGCAAGGGGGGGGGGAGGGGTCGAGCTCTCACGGATCCTTTCCTCTCAAACAGCCGCTGTCGTGACAATCCACTGCCGTCGACTAGGTGGGCCAGTGTGGGGGCTACGAGCTTGCGAAGGAAAGGCGTAACCAAGTCTGAGCGAATCTTCTGATGGCGATCAGAAAGTCACGCCATTCTGAGGTCCACGCCCTCTTTTCTGTTCCGTACCTCCGCATCCAAGTTTCTGTACAACAAGTCGTCTTGCTCGGCTGACAGCTCGTCAGTGGCCTGTTTGCAAGCCCAATGGCCTTCTACTTGGGGGCTCTCTTGTCCAACTTGCTGCGCACAAGGTTCTCCTTCAACTTCACTGCACCACAATGCACCAAACCTCTCTCTCTCGTACCGCGTGTTGTCTCTGCGCGCGTCTGTCCCTTCCTTTATAGCATCGTATATGGGACACACTCGCACTGGCCGTTCTAGTGTTCGGTTTCGAAGTGTCCGGGACGCTTCTCGAGCGTTATTGCTAGCAAGACACCATGATACCCGCGCTTTCGGCCCAGGTACCTGTAGCGAGTGGCGTGTGTTCTTCTCGTGGACCCCTTCTGTGCGGAAGGGACGCCCGAGGCCAAACGAGTCGATTCTGCCATCCTTGTGGCCCGCGGCCTTTCGCGGCCGCTGCATGTGGGGTAAAGCACAATGGCGCTCCACATGCTGTTCGATCGCCCCCCGTGGCCCGTCACGGCCTTCCTCGTGTGAGGCGCACCGGCCGTGCCGTTTACCCACTGGCCAGAGAACACTCGTGGCCCTCGTGCGCAGAGGTTGAACCCACAAGTCGATTCGGCTATTCCCGTGGCCCATGGCCCCGCGTGGTCCCTCTTGGCTTGTGTCTTTAAGATGCAGCCAACGACTCGATTCGTGTCTCCCTGTGTCTGGTGGCCACTCGATCGTGTGTGAGGTGAGACCCAATAGGGCCTACCTCGACTCGATTGTGGCTCGGGGATCCCTTAGAAGGAAAAACGGCATAAACGTAAACTTTTGGCGCTCCGCGCGGGTTTCTTGGATCTGCGCTGGACCCCCGCCAAGGGGCCCCAGCGTAGATCCAAGAAATCCGCGCGGAGCTCCAAAAGTTTATTTTTATGCGTTTTTTTCTTCTTCGACCCCCATGGCCCCTCGTGGTTCTCGCGTGTGCGGGATCGCCTCTGGTAGTCAGCTCCATTGCCCACGTGGCCCTCCGAGGCCTTCTTGTGTGTGTGGGGGGGCGAGGCGGGCACGTCTATTCGGTGGCCTTCGCGGAGCGGCATCCCGTTGTGGCCCTCGCGCGTGGGGTGAGGCACGAGCGTCGATCTGGGCAGGGCGAAGAGAAGGGGGGCGAGGCACGTAGGGGGAAAGAGAAAAGTCAGGCCGAAGCGTAGAGTGGGGAAACAGCCAGGATCCCAGAAGAGGAAAAATGCCAAGAGGGGGGGGCCCTCGCGGCGGACTGCAGGCGAGGGCCCCTCCTCTGGTGGCGCGGGGGCGGGCCTCTCCTGCCCTTCCTCCTCCTCCTCCTGCTCCTCCTCCTCCCTCATCCTCCTGAACTCATCCCTCCCTCATTCTTCCTCCTCCTTTCTCCCTTCTCCGCTCCTCCCTGTCCCTTGCCTTCCGACTCCACATCCGTAACCATTTCGGGTTAGGCCGTTGCCTGGCAAGGCGGGGGCCAAAGCCCCAGGGCTGCCGGTTCACGCTCTCCAAGCGCTGCGTCCACCGTACGAACCCTTCGGATCCTGGCTTCCTTGGGCTCGGCGACGCCGATGGCGAACTTCACCGTGGGCATCTCGCCGAAGGGCGATCAGTCCTCCTGCCTAGCCTGTCTCGTCGCCAGGACGAGCGTGGCAACACCCTTGATGTTCTTGCTCAATCCCTGCTTTTGACAAACGCGCTGCGCCGCCGAGAAGGGAGCAAAGAAATCCGGGAGCCTGTGGGCGGCCTGCGCACCAGCCGCCGACGTCTTACCAATTGGCTGCGAGACGTCCGCAACCGACATCGGCCCTCACTTGCCTCGGTTGTGCTGTCCATGAGCCTGCGCCTGGGCCAGCTAAGTGGGGCGATTGCTCTGGATCGCGCTGGGGATGCGAGTGCTGTGAGCGATGCGCTGGTGCCGCGGAGCAACACACGCAGTGCCACATGATAGCGCGGCACTTGTCGGCAGCATTGGCGCAACTTGCAAGGACTCCTGCTGCGGCCAAAGTGGAGGTGGCACAGAACGGCTGGTGGTTTAGAATGGTACACTCGGATGCCGCTGGCGGGCACCCGCGCCAGGTGGTTGGTCATATCATCTCGCCCCAAGAAACTGTTCACCCAAATAAGGACGAGCTGAGCGGGCAAGTACTGGCGTGTTTGAGGAAGTGTGTCGGAGCGTGCGCATACCAACGCGCACTTGTTTTGCAATAACATGAATGTGCCAACGGATCTCGAGTCAAACTCTACCGTCAACTTATCGCAATTTACTTTGAGGTGCCCTCTGTGGGCTCAGGTCGGGAACTGCTGTGCGCAATGACAGGTTCCAACTCGCCTGCCACTTGGCTTTTCATGCTTCCAGTATGGATTTTACACTGAGGGGCAATGACGACCACTACTAAGAACAACGGTGATAGCTTGTGCACCCTAAATGGCCCTGTGACCTTAGATTCGGGGAAGCCGTGTCGCTTCACGTGTAATCTCACTGCCTTCAGGTGAACCCAACTCATAAGAAAGGGACATTACGACTCGGCTCAAGTTCAACATCCTGCTTGATTGAAGACATTCTATGCCAATACGTTCTTGACAATTCGTCGCCTATGCTTCCCTGGAACCCCTGAGCCATCTGCAGACCTGACAAAACTATGCTTGACTCTCTGGTCGAGGTGTCTGGCAAGCGGTCTCACATTGTAGCCACAGGAGTCTTGTGGTTTCGGTGCACGTTAAGTTGCCACCCTAGCTAACCCACTCGACAATCGTTGTGGTGGCTTCAGCTGCTTAGACAAGAGCTCGGAGTTGGAAACAGTGGTAGGAACCATTTGTGCATAAACGGATGCTCTCCCCGTCTCCCGATCTACTCCATGCAGTGAAAACCATTTGCATGTTGTCGCCGTAGTTCTTGTTGTATGCTTTCAGCAACTTAAAGAGCCCACTGCCACATAGCTTGACACTCTGACTCACAGAAGAGTTTCAGTATCAAGCGTGCGGCCTGTACTTGCTCACGCGTCCTGGGTTGTTGCAGCACTTGCGCAAAAGCTCGTCTCATTGACTCATCGCGTTGGTCGCCCTCCCCCTTCCTAGCCACCTCCCTCTCCCCTCCCTTCTCCTTCCCTCTCCCCACTACATCAGGAGGAAGAAAGGAGGGAGGATGGAGACAGAGGGGGGAGGATAGAGGATGCAGGATGAAGGGGGATAGAGGGGGGGAGGCGGAGGAGAAAGGTGACGAGGAGGCGGGGAAGTCCTCCTCCCAGAGCTCCTGTCGCCCCCAAGCCAGGATCATCCGTTTACCGTACTTATCGGATGCTCTCTCTCTATATCTCTCTCTCTCTCATTGTCCTCTTCCAACTCGTCCTTCCGTCTCCCATCGTGGTCCTGCCCGTCACTATCTAGCCTCTGGGATGTTAGCGGCGCACAGGTGCTCGAGTCATTCGCGGGGGCCTGGCTGCAAAGCCGAGTGGGCGTATCCAGCATCTTAGCCGAGAATCCTCCTCCTCCTCCTCCTCCTGCTGTCAACTCTGAAAAACCCCCGAACACACCTGCACAAATCCGAAAGCCTCTGAAGACCTTCGAATACCGCCAGTAACATCGAACGCCATCCCAGAAATGTACAACGCACACAAGAGACCCTGAAGACATTCGGGAGCATCTTGGAGCCTTCGATACGGTAGGGACAATTTGCTTAGCGTGTTGCGGCGGCGGTCTCGGTGACATGCCATGCCTCGCAAACTGATAGCGTGTCGCTCCGCGCCGCGGAGCGGGAGGCTTGGTTTTTGCTTGTGGATTGGGACGTGGTTGGCGTGTCGTGCTGAATCGTGGTGGGCCAGGACCGGCAGCGCGACACGCAATTCCTGACCGCATCCCCCCCAATTATCCTCGTCGTCCCGTTCTCGGGGCAGAACTTTGGTCTCTGGGGGCGATTGGGGACGATCTGGCCACCCCGGGGACGCCTCTCGGCGAGGCGCAGCTGCTGGGGAGCACATCGAGGCTGGAGAACCACTGAGAACCGACAACGCCCCAAAACCTCGAGCCTCGAGCCTAGAACGTTCCTGACCTTGGCAGCGAAGAAAAGCGACCGCGACCTCCAAAGACACCCGAGTGCACCCGACGAGGTGTTTTTGGACGCCCGAAATGGGTACCGAACAAATGGGTACTATGCCCAACAGCAAATGTTGTCCCAAACCAACAGCGGCCGCTGTTGGGCAGGCGGCCTCCTGTCTCGAATGGACACAGGCCGCGGCGGCGTGGACAGCGAGCCCTGTTCAAACTGAACAAGATCCGCTGTTGGGCATTGTACCCATTCTTTCAGTACCCATTTCGTGCACCCGACGAGGTGTTGCCAAGCCCTCTGAAACGGCCCCCCGCCCGCCAGGAGCGCCGCGCCACTCAGCGCCGCCCCAGCGGCCAGCAGCAGGCCCGCGGAGGTGAGCAACGACCGCTCCCAGAGGCGCACAAAGGACCTGCGCGTCGTTGGCCCGTCGCCGTCGCCGTCGCCATCGTCGTCGTCGTCGTCGGTCCGTCGTCGTCATCGTCGGTCCGTCGTCGGCATCGTCGTCGCCGTCGTCGTCGTCGTCGCCGTCGTCGTCGTCGTCCTACCTCGTCGTCGTCGTCGTCGTCGTCGCTGCCGCTACCGTCGTCGTCCTCGTCGTCGTCGTCGTCGTCGTCGTCGTCTTCGGCCAGTCGTCGTCGTCGTCGCCGTCGACGCCGTCTTCGTAATCGTCGTCCTCCTCCGTCGTCGTCGTCGTCGTCGTCGTCGTCGTCGTCATCGTCGAAGTCGCCAACGTCGTTGCGTCGTCGTCGTAATCGTCGTCGTCATCGTCACGTCGTCTTTGACCCATCGTCGTCGTCGTCGTCGGCGTCGTCGTCGTCGTCGTCGTCGTGTCTGGCCCGTCGTCGTCGTCGTCGTCGTCGTCGTCGTCGTCGTCGTCGTCGACATCGTCGTCGTCGTCGTTATCGGTTCGTCGTCGCCGTCAGTCCGTCGTCGTCATCCGAAATCGTCTGCGATGTCGTCGTCGTCGTCGTCGTCGCCGCCATTGTCGTCGTCGTTTCGTCGGCGTCGTCGATCCAGCGTCGTCATCGTCGTCGCCGTCATCGTCGTCCGCCGTCGTGGTCGTCGCGGCCGTCGCCGTCATCGTCGTCGTCGTCGTCGTCGGCCCGCCGCCACCGTCGTCGTCGTTGTCGTCGTTGTCACTGTCGTCGTCGTCGTCTTCGTCGTCGTCGTCGTCATCGTCGTCGCCGTCGACGTGGTCATCGTCGTCATCATCGTCGTCCTCCGTCGTCGTCGTCGTCGTCGTCGTCGTCGTCGTCGTCATCGTCGCCGTCGTTGTCGTCGTCGTCGTCGTCGTCGTCGCCGTCTTCGTCGTCGTCATCGTCGACGTCGCCGACATCGTTGCAAAGTCGTCGTCGACGTCGTAGTCGCGTCGTCTATGACCCGTGGTTGTCGTCGTCGTCGTCGTCGTCGTCTGTCCCTCGTCCTCGTCCTCGTCGTCGTCGTCGTAGTCGTCGGTCCATCATCGTCGTCGTCGTCGTCGTCGCGTCGTCTTTGACCCGTCGTCGTTGTCGTCATCGTCGTCGTCATCGTCGTCGTCATCGTCGTCGCCATCGTCGTCGTCGTCGTCACCGTCGACGGTCCGTCGTCCTCGCCGTCGTAGTCATCGTCGTGGTTGTCGTCGTCGTCGTCGTCGTCTAACCTCGTCGTCGCCGTCGTCGTCAACATCGACGTCGTCGTTGTCGCCGTCATCGTCGTCCTACCTCGTCGTCGTCGTCGTCGTCATCGTCGTCGTCGTCGCCACTGTCGTCGTCGTCGTCGTCGTCTTCGTCATCGTCGTCAACGTCGTCGTCGTTGCCATCGTCGTCGGTTCGTCGTCATTATCGGTCCGGCAAAGTCGTCGACGTCCTTTTCGTAGTCGTGGTCGTCGTCGTCTTCGGCGTCGTTGTCGTCGTCGTCGCCGTCATCGTCGTCGTCGGTCAGTCGTCGTCGTCATCGTCGTCGCTGTCGGTCCATCGTCGTCATCGTCGTCGCCGTCATCGTCGTCCGCCTTCGTCGTCATCACGGCCGTCGTCGTCGTCGTCGTCGTCGTCGTCTTCGTCGTCGTCGTCGTCGTCACCGTCTTCGTCGTCGTCGTCGTCGTCGCCACCGCCGTCGTCGTCGTCGTCGTCGTCGTCGTCGTCGTCGTCGTCGTCGTCGCTGTCGTCGTAATCGTCGTCGTCGTCGTCGACGTCGGTCCGTGGTCGGTCCGTTGTCGTCAGTCGCCGTCGACGCCGTCGTCGTCATCGTCGTCCTCCTCCGTCGTCGTCGTCGTCGCCGTCGTCGTCGTCGTCGTCGTCGACGTCGCCAACACCGTTGCGTCGTCGTCGTCGTCGTGGTCGCCATCGCGTCGTCTTTGACCCGTCGTCGTCGTCGTCGTCGCCGTCGTCGTCGGTCCGTCGTCGTTGTCGTGGTCGGCCAGTCGTCGTCGTCAGTCCGTCATCGTCGCCGTCGTCTTCGTCGTTGCCGTCATCGTCGTCGTGGTCGGTCCGACGTCGTCATCGCCACCGTCGTCGTCGTCGTCGTCGTCGGCTCGTCATCGTCGTCGGCCCGTCTCGTCGTCGTCGTCCTTCTCGTCGTCGTCGTCGGTCCGTTGTAAGCATCGTCGTCACCGTAGCCGTCGTCGCCAACATCGTCGTCGTCGGTCCGTCGACGTCGTCGTTAGCGTCGTCGTCGGTCCATCTTCATCATCGTCGCCATGATCGTCTGCCGCCGTCGTCGTCGTCGCGGCCATCGTCGTCCTGGTCGTCGTCGCCGTCGTCATCGTCGTCGTCGTCGTCGCCGTCGTCGTCATCGTCGTCGCCGCCGTCGTCGTCGGTCCGTCGTCGGAATCGTCCTCGCCGTCGTCGTCGTCGGTCCGTCGTCGTCGGCGTACCTCCTCGTCGTCGTCGTCGTCGCCACCGCCGCTCGTCGTCGTCGTTGTCGTCGTCGTCGGCCCATTGTTGTCGTCGTCGTCTTTGACCCGTCGTCGTCATCGTCGTCGTCGCCATCGTCGTCGTCGCCGGTTCGTCGTCGTCGATCCGTCATCGTCGTCATCGTCGTCGTTGCCGTCATCGTCGTCGTCGGTCCGTCGTCCGCATCGTTGTCGCCATCGTCGTCGTCGCCGTCATTGTCGTCGTCGTCGTCGTCGGTCAGTCGTCGTCATCGTCGTCGCCGTCATCGTCGTCCGCAATCGTCGTCGTCGCCGCCGTCGTCGTCGTCGCCGTCGTCGTCGTCGTCGTCGTCGTCGTCGTCGTCGTCGTCGTCATCGTCGCCATCATCGTCGTCGTCGTCAACGCCACCGTCGGCGTCGTCGTCGTCGTCGTCGTGGCTGTCGTCATCGTCGTCGTCGCAGTCGTCGTCGTCACCTGTCCGTCGTCGGTCTGTCGTCGTCATCGTCATCGCCGTCGACGCCGTCTTCGTCATCGTGGTCCTCTTCCGTCGTCGTCGTCGTCGTCGTCGTCGTCATCGTCGTCGTCATCGTCGACGTCGTCGCCGTCGTCGTGTCGTCTTTGACCCGTCATCGTCGTCGTCGTCGTCGTCTCCAGCCCGTCGTCGTCGTCGTCGTCGTCGTCGTCGGTCCGTCGTCGTCGTGGTCGTCATCGGTCCGTCATCGTCTTCGTCGTCGTCGTCGTCAACATCGTCGTCGTGGTTGTCGTCGTCATCGTCGTCGTCGTCGTCATCGTCGTCGCCGTCGTCTTCGTCGCCGTCATCGTCGTCGTCGTCGGTCCGTCGTCGTCGTCATCGTCGCCGTCGTCGTCATCGTCGTCGTCGCCGTCGTCGTCGGTTCATGGTCGACGTCGTCGGTCTGGCAAAGTCGTGGTCGTCCTGTTCGTCCTGTTCGTCGTCGACGTCGTCGTCGTCGTCGTTGTCGTCGTGGTCGTCGGAGTCGTCGCCGTCGTCGTCGTCGTCGTCGGCATCGTCGTCGTCGTCGCCGCCGTCATCGTCGTCGTCGTCGTCGTCGTCGTCACTGTCGAGGTCGACAAAATCGTCGTCGTGGTCGTCGTCGCCGTCTACGGCCCGTGGTCGTCGTCGCCGTCCACCGTCGTCGTAGTCGTCGTCGTCGTCACCGTCGTCGTCAGTCCGTCGTCGTTGGTTTGTCGTCGTCATCGTCGTCGTCGTCATCGTCGTCGGTCCGTCGTCGTCGTCATCATCGTCCTCCTCGTCGTCGTCGTCGTCGCGTCGTGTTTGACCCGTCGTCGTCGTCGTCGTCGTCGTCGTCGTCGTCGTCGTCGGTCCGTCGTCGTCATCGTCGTGGCCGTCGCCGTCGTCGTCGTCGTCGTCGTCGTGGTCATCGTCGTCGTCGTCGTCGTCGCTGTCGTCGTCGCCGTCGTTGTCGTCGCCGTCATCGTCGTCGTCCGCCGTCGTCGTCGTCGTCGTCGTCGTCGCCGTCGTCTTCGGCCCCACGTCGCCGTCGTCGTCGTCGTCGTCGTCGTCGTCGTCGTCGTCGTCGTCGTCGTCGTCGCCATCCGTCCGTCGTCGTCGTCGTCGTCGTCGTCGTCGTCGTCGTCATCTTACGTCCGTCGTCGCAATCGTCGTCGTCGTCGCCGTCTTCGTCTTCGCCGTCGTCGTCGTCCGCCGTTGTCGTCGTCGTCGCCGTCGTCGTCGTCGTCCTCGTCGTCGTCGTCGTAGTCGTCGTCATACCAGCCCCATCCTCATCATCATTACTACCATCATCGTCATCACCACCATCATAATCATGATCAGCATCAGCATCAGCATCACCACCTTCACCATCACCACTTTCACCATCACCATCACCAGCATTATCAAAACCATCATCATCACCATCTTCACCTCCACAACCACCCCCATCATCATCATCATCATCATCATCATCATCATCATCATCATCATCATCATCATCATCATCATCATCATCATCATCATCATCATCATCACCACCACCACTGTCATCATCACCATCACCATCACCATCACCGTCACCGTTACCGTCACCATCATCACCAGCATCAGCGTCAGCATCAACATCAACATAAATATCAACATCAACGTCATAATCATCATCAACATCATCGTCATCGTCATCGTCGTCATCATCATCACACCCACCATCCTCATAATCCTCATCATCCTCATCATGGTTCGCCCAACTCTGGATAAATGACTGGAAAAACACGATGTCACACGTGACGGCCTCCCGTGCCCCCTCGAACAGTGGCCACCCACAATGTTGGGCTGGCACGGTGGCGGAACTTGGCGCAGGCAGCTGGATACGCGCGAAGAAGAGCACGAGCAGGACGACCAGGAGGAGCAGCAGCAGGAGCAGCAGAGGGTCGGTCCCACCCTGGATGTATCATTTAGAAGTCCTGCTGCTCCCACAAATCGTGGCGGGCGCCTCTGTTCAAAAACTCTGCATGCCAGTCGGCATCCTACCAGGCCAGGCATGATACAACACATTCTGCCGCAGGTGCCTAGCTCGGGTGTCCTGAGCCCTCGTGGTAGAGGCGTCAGGGTGCAGGGAGATTTGAGGGGGCATGGGATCTTCACAACTCGGCACCTGCAACAGCGAGACCCTCCTGAACGAACTGGAAGGACTGCGTGAACTCACCGGTACATGGCGTTGTTGATGCGGTCGATGAAGTAGGCTGGGTTGGCCGGGAAGGCAACGTAGTTCTTCTCGTACTTCTGGATGATCTGCTTCAAGTTGTCGGGGAGCTCGGGGTCATTCAGCATGTCCGACACCTTCTCCCACGGGCCGTGCGTGCCAATCCAGCCGCTGGCGGTGGGGAACATGCCAGGGAACTGGCGGTAGGCCATGATGTTAGCATTGTTGATGTCCACCTTGTTGCTGCCGCCCAGGTACTCGATGTTGATATAGTCGACTTCTGCCAGCGCTGGCGAAGCCGAAGCCACGAGCGCCACGGCCGACGCTGCAGCGGCGCTGGCGGCCCTCTGCTTGCTGGAGCGCAGCCAGCCGACCACCGCTCCCGCGATGCTGGCCACGGCCGCACCGAGCATCGCCCCAGAGGCGGTGCGCTCCGCCGCGGGCTCCTCCACGAGCTCCTCCACGAGGAGTGTCGGCTGCTGCTGGACCGCCGAGGCGACGGATCGCTGCAAAGCGGTCTCGCTCGGCACTGGGGCCACGTAGGCGGCGGCCGGGGAGGCGAGCAGGGCAACCGCCAGCGCCACGCGCGAGAGCACCGCCATCAGGGGCCTCTGGAGCTGCTTGGTCCGATGGGAGCTGCTGGTTGGTGGCAGAAAGGTGCTTGGGCCGAAACTTCACCCAAAATAGATACGGACGATGAGGAGGACGCGTAAACATTGGGCGAAGAACGCAGAAATGAGGTAGACAAATAACTCTGAGGAGATAGGCTGGAAAGGGAAGAACTCTGTTCCTGTGCCCAATGGCTCTTCAACATCTTGGGCATTGTGAATTGTCAAAACCAGGCGTTCGGTCATGTACAGGATAATTTGATTGCCATCACAACTTGCTCTTCAAGTTTTTGGTGAGATGAGCCTGCTGAACCAACCTTTAGTCTCTCATGCATTCGACAATGCAGACAGTCGTCATCATGTCTTGCACGGCGGAATGACAAATCTATATTGACCCAATCACTTTGGGCCCTTGTCAACACATGGCTTACTCGGAAGATTCGGACACTGGCATTGTCAAATCCACTGACGCTCTCTAGTGCGCTTGCTCTCGAACGCGAAGCCAATGTGTTACATCTTAGCAACATCGAACTACCAAACCCGCTTTAACAACAGTCAAGGATGACGGGCCGATAAGAAATATTGCTGCTCGATGACTCTGCTGGATTTCCAACAACGCTTACTGCTTGTACAAATTGTGCTGCCGTGTTGCCAGAACGCAAAGTCCCACACTGCTTTCAGCAGTCTGGATTCAAGCCAACTGGGCGAACAGACTGCAACACTACACAACTCGTCTACCACTTGCAACTGCCCCTCTCACCTCCACCTCGGCTCTCCTTTCTCCTCCTACTTATCTGAAGCATCCTGTTACTGCTCCTGCTCATATTCAGCCGCCTCCGCCTTGACACTTTGGGCGTTCGCGTGCGAACAACGTGCACTTCTATTGCCTTGACACTTTGGGCTTCCATGGCGGGCCGATGTTCAAGTGTTTTGGGTTTTGGTTGAAAGAAGTACTGGGCGGCCAGGCTCCAAGCAACGGATACGTCGAAGTATTAAGCACTTCGCATTGCCAACAATATTGGACTTCAAAAAGTGATGGGCTGTCGGGAAAGAGCTATCGCACGACTCAGCCACCAGACATATAGGCGATTGTATTCGCATGCGACTATTCGCTGATATAACAATGTTAGCCACCGTGGCCCCCAAACAGTGTGTGTTCTAGCAATATGTGTGGTGCAATATATGTGGTGCAGTGCAAACGGTGTGATGCAACCTTTATATGTATACTTGTATATATACACGCGGGCAAATCTATGTGGAACAAATCTGGATGGGACAAAATATGTGATGCAATGTTCTTTAGGTTTTTGGTGCAGTTTATGTTATGCGATCTGTATGGTGCAACCTATTATGGGCAACCGATGTGGTGCAATCGATGTGGCACAGCCTGATTGGTGCAACTTATGTTGTGCAATTAATTTTTGTTTGCAGTGAATTGTAAACCCCACTGCTCGCGCAACGGCCCACCCACCCACCCGCACTTGGGTTTGTAAAACCCATGCGGCGGCGATTGCGATGAGTGCTTGGTGTTGGCTGGTGCGTCTCTGCGGCCGCGCTGGCCCGCGCATGCTCGCGCGCGCAGCGGCCAGCTACTTTGGCGCGACCGACGCGGCCGCGGTGGCCGCAGACCGTTGGGCACTTCCCAGCGGGCAGTTCAGTGCGAATCGGCGACTTGGGCGGGCGCGGTAGCATGGCAACGTCGACAACGTAGACACGATGATGATGGTACCGATGCTGGTGACGATGATAACAATGACGATAACAAGGCCAGTGACGGCGCCAATGCTGATCACGCAGACGACGATGACGGCGTCCTCGCGTCGGTGATGAAGGGTTTGGAAAGGGGGTTCGGCATGCGCGTGCGGCCGACGCGCGAGTGGCCCGCATGGAATTATTTGACACGGATCGTGCCCCCCCAGCACGTGCGCAAAGGCGTCCGAATGATTTCGACATGCGGCGCGAAAGGCCAGTTTGGCAGAATTTGATGGGCATTTCGAAAAACCGATGGTTCCTTTCAGGATTCGCAGGAGCGCGATCGCAGGGTTTTTTGAACACTAATGTTGCAAAGCCATGTGTTTTGAACATGTTTTCGAAACACTCGATTTTGACCCCCCGGCGAAACTAACGGTTTTCAAATGATTTCTGCATTCGCGCGTGACGACGTGCGCGTGTTCACTGCGTCCAGTTCTTTGCATGGGACTCTTGCGACGGCGCGTGCGCAAGGGCGTTCGAATGATTCCGACATGCGCGCGCGACAGGCACGTTTGGTAGAGTTTGAGGAACAAATTGAAAAACACGTATGGTCTTCAAGAATTCGCAGGTGCGCGAGCGCAGCTTTTTGGTGAACACTGATGTTGCAAAACGATGTGTTTTTACATTTTTTGTTGGGTCCCTCGATTTTGCAATTCCTGCGACCACCGTTATTTCTGAAGGATTTCGGCATGCGCGCGCGACGACGCGCGCGTGTGCACTTCGTCCAGTGTGTTGCAAGGACTTCCTGCAACAGCACGCGCGCAAGGGCGTTCGCATGACTTCGGCATCCGCGCGCGAGAGGCACGTTTGGTAGAATTTGATGAACTGGTTGAGCAAAAAAACAACGGTTTTCCAATAATGCGCAACAGCGCGGGCGCGCGTTTCTTGTGAACATCTTTTTCGCTGATGGATCCATTTGTTTTTATATGTTTTCGGGGCACTCGACTTTGAAATCTTTACGGGGCGGATTTTTTTTAAAAGGATTCCGGCATGCACGCGCGACGGCTCGCGCGCGTGCCTGTCGTGCCGTTTTTTAGCGAAGGGGTTTTTCAAAACTGACGCTTTTGATCTACGACTGCGCGCGCATCCTGTGTTGTTGCAAAGGATGAGGGGGGGGGCGATGCCAGTGTAGCGGGGATAGTACGAACTCATATTCAGGGTGGATGAGTCTTCAGAATAAATATGAAAACTCCATGCGCGAAGAGGTATGTCGTTAAATCCAGGGGTGAGGGCGGGGGGGGTGGGGTAGAGTCTATATCGCTTTTAGAAAAATGCATGCTGTCCAACCTATGATGTACAATTCACCCTGCCGAATTTGAAATTGTCACTTGCGCTGCTCGCGCATCCCACCCGCCCGCCCGCAACTTGGTTTGCCAAAGCCCCTGTGGCAACGATTGCGATGACTGCTCGGGGCTGGCTGGCGCGTCGCCGTGGCCGCGCTGGCGCGCGTGCTCGCGCGCGAAGCGGCCGGCTAGTTTGGCGCGACCGACGCCGCCGCGGAAGCGTTAACTGCTGGGCACTTCCCAACGGGCACTTCGGTGCAAGTCGGACCCTTGGGCGGGCGCGGTATCATGGCGACGCCGACGACGGTCGACGCGATGATGGTAGTAGCAGTGTTGGTGACGACGATGACAATGACGACAGCAATGCCAATGACGGCGCCGATGCCGATCGCGCCGGCAACGATGACGGCGTCCTCGCGTCGGCGATGAAGGTTTTGGGGGGAGTCCGACATGCGCGCGCGGCCGACGAGCGAGACAGGCCCGCGTGGAATTATTTGACACGGATCGTGCCCCCCAGCACGCGCGCAAGGGCGTTCGAATGATTTCGACATGCAGCGCGAAAGGTCCCTTTGGCAGAATTTCATGAACATGTTCAACAATAACCCATGGTTTCTTTGAGAGCTGGCAGGGGCGCGGGCGCAAGCATCTCAAAAACAATGGTGTTGCCAAACCATCAGTTTTTTATTAGCTGTCGGGGCACTCGATTTTGAAATCCTTACGAAACCTAAGGGTTCTGACGTATGTCGGCATGCGCGCGCGACGACGCGCGCGTGTGCACTTCGTCTCAGTTCTGTCAGTGACTCTTGCGGCTACACGCGCGCAGAGGTGTTTTTGCGGTTCCGACATGCGCGCGCGAAAGGCCAGTTTTGGTAGCGCGTTACGAGCATGTTGCAAACTTACGTTGTTCGTCAGACTTCGCAAGAGCGCGGACGCAAGCCTTCTTTTCAACATTCTTGTTGCGACACCATGTAATTTACATGTTTTCGGGGCGCTAGATTTTGAACTCCCTGTGCGCGCGACGACGTGCGCGTGTGCACTTCGCCTCATTTTTTTTGCAAGGGGCTCTTGAAAACTGATGGGTTTTGATCAATGAGCGTGCGCGAAAAAAATCCAAAGGATGAGGGGGAGTGCCCGTTTAGCTGGGGTATTGTGAACTTATAGATCGGATGGACGATGGGGCAGAATCGTATGAAACTTGCAAAACGAAAAGGGGTGCGGTCAAGTCTGGGGGAAGGGGGTAGATCCCATTACACTTTATGGCAGGAGAGCGTAGGTGTTGCAATAGGTGTCGGGTAATCTGCGTAATGCGATTAATTTCGTTCGCGATGAATTGTCAACTCCGCTGCTCGCGCAACCATCCCACCCGCCCACCCGGACCTGGGTTTGCAAAGCTCATGCGGCGGCGATTGCGATGACTGCTCGGCGCTGGCTGGCGCGTCGCCGCGGCCGCGCTGGCAAATGAAGCGGCCAGCTAGTTTGACGCGACCGACGCGGCCGCGGTGGCGCTGGCCGCTGGGCGACGCCTTGGGCGGGCGCGGTACCATGGCGACGTCGACAACGGTAGACGCAATGCACGCGCGGCCGACGAGCGAGAGTGGCCGCATGGAACTATTGGATACGGATCGAACCCCCCCGAGCAGGCGCGCAATGGCGTTCGAATGACGTCGACATGCAGAATTGATTGGACTTGTGTTGAAGGACCTACGCTTCTCTTCAGAATTCGCAGGACAGCGAGGGCAAACATTTTTGAAAACTAACGTTGGAGAATCGTGTGCTTTTAATGTGTTTCTTCGGGCCACTCGGTTTTACAATCGAAATCGGGCGTACGGTTTTTGAAGGGTTTCCACATGCGCGCGCGACGACGCGCGCGCGTGCACTTCGTCCCATTTTTCGCAAGGGTTCTTGCGACAGCATGCGCGCAAAGGGCGTTCGAACGATCTCGACATGCTCGCGCGAGAAGCACGTTTGATGGGATTTCATGAACATGTTGCAAAACCTATGGTTTTTTTAAAGAATCAGCAGAAGCGCGAGGGCACGTTTTTTTGAACAATCTTGTTGCGGAACTATGTGTGTTTTCCGTTTCTGGGACACTCGATTTTTAGCTCCTTGCGACAACCAGCTTTTGTGAAGGATTTCGGCATGCGCGCGCGACGACGCGCGCGTGTGCACTTCGTTCCGATTTTGCGAATGGTTCTTGAAAACTGATGATTTCTGATAAACGAGTGTGCGCGCATAGTATTTGTTGCAAAGGATGAGGGGGGGGATACCTGCCTGCCTGGGATGGTACGAATTCATACTTAAGATGGCCGATAAGGACAGAATCATATGTAAGCTGCAATACGAAAAGGGGGACCATTCAATCCGGGGGGGTTAGGTAGAACCTGCTACCCTTTAAGAAAGTAGAGTCTATGTGAAGCAACCTGTGTGGCGTCGACGAGGTGGCGACGGCGGCAACATAGCCGCCAGACCACCACGCCCGCCCAGACGACGGGGGCGGCGACGGCGGAAACATAGCCGCCAGACTGCCACACCGATCCCACGCGACGGGAGGGGACGAGGCGGCGACGGCGGAAACATAGCAGCCAGACCGCCATACCAGCCCAGTTCTTCAAACAAAGAAATAAGAATCCCTGAGTGCAAGCACTGTTTTGGGACAAAGTCATACCGAGCATGGGATCCAGGCCGTGCCATAAGGTGTCGCCGCCATGGGGTTCGCCACCTCCAGAACCCCTCCCCAGAACCCTCAAGACCAATTCGATCCTCCTCCGCCTCCTCCTCCTCCTCCTCCTCCTCCTCCTCCTCGAAACTCGATCCTTGGGAGGAGGTGGCGACCACCCCGTGTCAGCGATGCCCTCCTAAGAAGGCCGGCGGGCCCGGGCGAGCTTACCGGTACATGGCGTTGTTGATGCGGTCGATGAAGTAGGCCGGGTTAGCTGGGAAGGCAACGTAGTTCTTCTCGTACTTCTGGATGATCTGCTTCAGGTTGTCGGGGAGCTCGGGATCATTCAGCATGTCCGACACCTTCTCCCACGGGCCGTGCGTGCCGATCCAGCCGCAGGCGGTCGGGAACATGCCAGGGAACTGGCGGTACGCCATGATGTTGGCATTGTTGATGTCCACCTTGTTGCTGCCGCCCAGGTACTCGATGTTGACATAGTCAACCTCTGCCAGCGCTGGCGAAGCCGAAGCCACTAGCGCCAACGCCGACGCTGCAGCGGTGCTGGCGGCCCTCTGCTTGCTGGAGCGGAGCCAGCCGACTACCGTTCCCGCGATGCTGGCCACGGCCGCACCGAGCATCGCCCCAGAGGCGGTGCTGTTCGCCGTGGGCTCCTCCACGAGCTCCTTCACGAGGAGTGTCGGCTGCTGCTGGGCCGCCGAGGCGACGGAACGCTGCAGGACGGCCTCGCCGGGCACCGGGGCGACATAGGCGGCGGCGGGGGATGCGAGCAAGGCCACCGCCAGCACCACGCGGGACAAGACCGCCATCTGGGGTCTGCGGAGCTGCTGAGTCCAGGCAGGGCGCTGCTGGTCGATGGCAAAGGGGGGATGAGTCGGCCGTAGTTTGAGCCAAACCCGCAATGACGGGCGTGCCCCCGAACATGTCTTTCGGCGCCTAAAATAGGGAGCCCCCGAAAGACGTACGCGCCAACACACGTACATGAACACGGTCTCCCAATCAGCGAGGCCAGCCGCGAGATATGGACTCATGCACGTGTACGTTTTTGTTTCGCTTCTGATATTAAAGGGGGTGGGGCGAGAGGAGCCTCTAAGACTCCCCCTGCCTTGTTGGAAGACCGCTCCCCTCGCCCTAGAAGTGGGTGGGGCGAGGGGAGCCTCTGGCAACACCCGACCGATGCTCTCCTCCTCCTCCCCTCCTCCTCCTTCTCCTCTTCCTCCTCCTCCTCCTCCAATCTCCGCCTCCTCCACCACCTCCTCCTCCTGTTCCTTCTCCATCCTGCTCCCTCCTTCCTCCCTCCTCTGTCCTCCTCCCCTCCCTCCTCCTCCCTACCTGCCTTATTCGATCTTGGACCCTCGCCCCGCCTCCCTCTGCGCGCCGCGCCAACGAGAACCCGGGAGGTCCGATGACCGCATGGCTTATCGGGCGGCAACCCGCGCTGCCACGTGACGCCGGGCACCCTCCTGGGCAGCCGTGGGGGCCCAGAGCCAACGGGGCCCGACATCGATGACGATGACGATGACGATGACAAGCATCGTCATCGTCACCGTAATCGTCATCTTATGCGCAACAAGGGCCCAAAGCCAAATGCCAAATGGACTGGCATCACATCTTACGATCTCTCGCGAAAACGCCCTGGTCCTGGCTCGGCTGTAGCATCCTCCAGGCATGCCGGTGAGAAGCGACAGAGCACTAACCTACCCCGGGGAAGGATGAGGGAGGAGGAGGAGGAGGAGGAGAACGGAGAAGAGAAGGATAAGGAGTATGAAACGCAAGAGGGTGATGAGAAGGGAAATGAGGGAGGAAGAGGAGAAGGAGGATGATGAGGAGGCGGAGAATGGGAGGAGGGAGGGATGGGAGGAGGGCTGAGAATGGGAGGAGGATAGAAGAGGAGTTAGGAGTGATTCGAAGCTGGCTGACGTATATGTATATGTATATATATATATATGTATATATATATATATATAGATATGTATATGTATATGTATATATATTTATATATATACATAGACGCTTCCGAAGGGGCGGCGCGGCGGCGCGCCAGCGGGCCGCGATGTCCACCAGCACCGGCAACGTGCGGCCCTCGAAGAAGCGCAAGCAACTCGCGAGGCCGGCCCCCAGAGCAGACAAATCGTGCGCCCTGGCCTCTTCGAGGGGCCGCCGGCAAGCAATCCACACGCAGCCCCTCGAAGAAGCCACGAGAAGCCTTGGATAACGAAGGAAATGTCGTCTCTCGCAAGGCTCGAGTGTTGCTAGACGTGCCCCTGGCCCAAAGTGATCCCAGCTTTTCCTGGGAAGGGCCCGATGGCGCCTTCTACTCCACCACGCCCCAGAGCACCTCGAGTCGTGAAACAAATCATGACGGCACGTGTCCAGCTATTTTCGCCCTCTGCGGGGCTTAACCAGGCCCCAGGACGGTAAAACAAGTACTCGGGATGAAAAGCTGGTCCCGTGGAAGGGGTCGAGACCTCCAAGGGTCCACGTGGCGAAATTTCACGACGTCGGGGTCTGTTTCGTTGTCTGTGTGTGTGTGTGTGTGTGTGTGTGTGTGTGCGTCTTTGTGTGTCTTCCCTGCACGGCGCTGTATCCCACCAATCTGCTGGTCTGGCAGCAGTGACAGATTCTTTGCGCTTCACTGCCTAACACCATTGTGTCGATGATTTAGTGGCCTCCAGTTCGCACCAGACTGCTCGCGCTTCAGCTTACTTCGGGTTGAGTCGCCTCCTCGGTTTTCTGGCCGCTGTACGTTTCGTTTGGATTTGCAGGTCCTCTTCACACCACCCATCGCGGCATTGACAGTCTGCACTCTTTGTGCGCTGTACCTTCGGCAGAATTCGATCGCAATTAGTATCTCCATCTGCTGCCCGCGCCTGAGAATCCTCTGCGCCGCTGACTTAAACATGTGTGTCCTCCCTTCCCTCCTCTACTTCAAACTGTGCTTCTTCTGCTGCTGCGCATCCTCAGCCTCCAGGAGGGAGACCCCCTCAAATCTCAATGGCTGACCAAGTGGAAGGGGTAGAGCAAAGAAGGCGAGCAACATGAGGATGAGGAGGTAGAGGAGGACACACTGCATGCGGGAACGACTGCTGCCATGTAATGACTGACAATCATGAGCCTCGACTTCGCGTGAAAACGAATTAATTAAGCATAGTTGCGCACGCGGGCGTGTCTGATTAGGTGTTTATATATGGGTATGTGTGCGGGTACGCAAACTGAATATTGTGATGTGCGTTTGCGCATGCACACGCGTGCATGACATTGTAGGAATATGCGCTTGTGTATGCTCGCGTTTGCCTGCAAGAATGCACGTTGGATGTACAGTGTGTCTTTCACCATCGAAACAGTCAAATACAAGTGAGCTCTTAACCGCCAACCTACTCCACTACTGCCAGTGTGTCGAGCCAATGATGGCTGTCCCGACGGCTGTCGGGACGGTTGTCTCGATGGTTGTCCCGATGGCTCTCCCGATGGTTAATCCGATGGTTGTCCTGAAGACCTGTTCGTCCAGGTGGACGTCCCGATGGTCGTCCCGATGGTTGCTCCGATTGTTGTTCCGATGGTCGTCCCGATGGTCGTCCCGATGGTTGTCCCGATGGTTGTCCCGACGAATGTTCCGATGGTTGTCCCGATGGTTGCCCCGATGATTGTCCCGACGGTTGCCACGATGGTTGTTCCGATGGTCGTCCCGATGGTTGTCCCGATGCTTGTTCTGACGGTTGTTCCGACGGTTCTCCCGATGGTTGTCCTGATGGTTGTCCCGATGGCTGCCCCGATGGTTGTCCCGATGGTTGTCCCATGGAGGTGGTTGTCCCGATGGTTTTCCCGATGCATGTTCCGATGGTCGTCCCGATGGTTGTCGCGGCAGATAGTGATACCGGTGGTTGTCCTGGTAGATATATCGCGAGATCGGCGTATTGACCCCTTGTGGGATCGGTATATGAGCTGTGAGACGGAGAGGTCTTGAGGCTGTTAGCTTAGATGTGATGCTGATAGTTACGCAAAGAGATACAGTGAGGCAAACACATATACGTACGGGCGCGGGGAGGAGCACAGGAGCTGCGCCGCGACGGCGGCCATCAGGAGGAGGCCCTGCACCTCGCCAGGGGGGGCCTGCTGCTGCTGCTGCTCCTCCTCCTCCTCCTCCTCCTCCTCTTTGCTGGTCGCTTCTGTCCCTCGCCGTGCTTCCTCTTCCTCCTTCCTGGAGCAGAGGGAGAAAGGAGAGGGCCAATTGTTGGCAGCACCAGGGATGGGGGAGCCTCCTCCTCTTTTCTCGTCCCCCCCACCCCTCCTCTCCTCTTCCTCCTCCTCCTCCTCCTTCTCCTCCTCCTCCTCCTCCTCCTCCTCCTACTTGTCTTCCTCCTCCCCGACGTCAATGCCGAGCTTGACTGAGCCTTGTGTGTTGGGGGAGGGATGTCGGTGGCCCTAGGCGTGTTGTGTTTGGCTCACACACAGACCTGGGTGCCAAAACTGTACCCCCGTTTCTCCTTGGATTGGCACACGCCTCGTTTTTCTTCTCCCGCGCCCCCTTTCCCGCCCTGGACCCGCCCTCTCCCTGGGCGCTGCGGACTGCGCGAATGTCAGCACTGGCGCGAGTTCCTGGTGGGTCCAGAGTGGGGGCGGCCATACTCAGGTCAGAACTATTACCTCCTTCCCTGGTGCGCAAGTCCAGGCAGGACCTCGCCCTCCCTGGGTGCTGCCATCCGCGCCATTGTCGCTGCTTTTGCGAGTTCCTGACCAATGGCCAGTTTCGCACTTTGGTGAGCTCCCGAAGGCCCTAGTGGAATGACGCGTTTCTTGCGCAGGTCCAAACGGGACTTCGTCTTCCCTGAGTGCTGCCAACTGCGCAAGTGTCGCCGCTTGCGTGACAACTTGATGGGGCCCCACGGATTGATGCGCCACGCAGATCCAAACAGGACCTCGTCCTTCCTGGGCGCTGCGAACCGCGCAAATGCCGCCCATCTCGCGCGCGCTGGCGCCGCGCGAGTGACTGGCAGCAAGCGAAGCTAACCGACAAAATGCCTGTGGCGCCGCCCGGCAGAGGTGGCTGGCAAAGGACCGACCGGCCGACGGGGGCCCGCAGGATCAGGCCACGGGAAGAGCGAGAGCACCCCGAGCGGCGGCTGCGACGCAGACGAGGTGGGACTGTCGCCGTGCTGATGGACGCCTACGGTGCTCACCCATGTTGCGAGGCGCCAGGCAGGCGACAAACAGCGCGCCGGCGGGCGGCAAGAGGCCACAAGAGGTGGAATCTCAAGCACAAGCTCCTCTCCTGCTCCTACTCCTGCTGCTGCTCCTCCTCCTCCTCCTCCTCCTCCTCCTCCTCCATTCCTGTTCTTTATAAAGCCAGTCTTTAGGGCCAGCCGGGCGTGTCGCCTGAGACTTCCTCACAACTTGAGACTCTGAAGCTTAAACGTTGGCAACAGCTTCACGCATGGAGGGTGGGTCGTTTGCAAAATGTGGCTCTCGCCTTAGCGCGGCGCACATTCGTTTAAACAATGTGCCAAAGTTTCACGGGTTGAGGGCGTGTCGTTTTCAAAATGTGGCTCTCGTCTTAGCGCGGCGCAAATTCTCTTTAAGCATTTGCAAGAGCTTCACGGGTTGAAAAATGTGGCTCTCGCCTTGAGGGCGGTTCTTTTTCAAAATGTGGCTCTCGCTGTAGCGCGGCGCACATTCGGTTTAAACATTTGCAAAGAGTTTCACGGATTGAGGGCGGTTCCTTTTCAAAATGCGGCTCTCGCCTTAGCGCGGCGCGCATTCGGTTTAAACATTTGCAAGACTTTAATGGGTTCCCATCATCAACGTGCCAGTAATGGTGTTCTGAACGGATTCGGGATTACGCGTGTGCAGTAATTATGTTGATTCGCTGTGTTGAAGTCCCAGGAATGGCGTTCTGGCAAGATGCAGGATTGTCAAGACGCAGCAATCAGGTTGATTCGTGGCGCTGGAATCCCGAGAACTACTTTTTGGCATGCTTCAGGGTCTTCAGACGGTTGTCTTCCAAAGAGGCAGTTCCTTCAATGGAAACGAACCGTTGTAGGGGCTTTTGAAGAGGAAGCTTGGAGGGAGGGTTTATTCCAAAATCGTTGATGACTCTTGGGTTTACACTGGTTCTCCTCCTCCTCCTCCTCCTCCTCCTCCTCCTCCTCCCCCTTCTCCTCCCCCTCCTCCTCCTCCTCCTCCTCCTCCTCCTCCTCCCCCTTCCTCTCCCTCATCGTCCTCCTCTTCCTCCTTCTCCTCCTCCTCCTTCTCCTCCTCCTCCTCCTCCTCCTCCTTCTCTTCTTCCTCCTCGTCCTCCTCCACAAAGCTTGAGACAACGTGCGAAGCCATGCGAAAGCCTGGAAACAAGATCTGGGGACCTTTGAAGGCCAAGGCCGCCTCCTCCTCTTTATCGTCGTTGTCCTCGTTATCCTGGCCCTGGTTCTGGTCCATGTCGCCGTCGCCGACGACGAAGACGACGACCCCCGAAGCCTCCGCCAGACCTCCAGAAGCCTCTCGAGGCCCGAAGACAGCCAAGAGCAGAATTCTCGATACCCTAGATCGATCAGGCGACGAAGAGCGGCTTTCGCACCAACGGCGGCGCCGTCGCCGCCGCCGTCGTCCTGCTCCTCGCCGTCGTCGCCGCCGTTGCCGTCGCCGCCCTCGCCATCTGGGTGGACAAACAAGGTACCGATACTGCTACTCCCCAGAGCTCTCTCCTGGGGTGCGGCCTGATAAGAATGCCGAGGAGAATCCAGCCGTGGCAACAAGGGCTTCCCAAGAGGTCCCAAATGGTGAAAACGAAGAAGGGTAGCGGTATGGATACCTGTTCCGTTTTTGATCGTCGTCGGCGTCGTCGTCGTCGTCGTCGTCGTCGCCCTCGCCCTCGTGCTCGGAGCTGTCCCCCGAGAGCTGATGTTGCGACAAAAGTGCAACATCGCGCAAACTACGACTGGAGCCCCAGACCCCATCTTTCTGCGGCACCTCTCGAGCCAGATCGTAAGACGAGGCCAATGCGAGGACAACATCGGTCGAGGAAACATCGAGAATTTCTGAGATTCGGTGGCTCTGGAGGATGTCTCGGGCGCCGCGGCCTTCCCGGAGCGTTCCAGAACGCTCTGAGAACGTTCTGGAACGCTCTGGAACGGATTCATCCTCGTCCTCGCCCCGTCCGACCAGACCCCATCTTTCTGCGATCCCTGCCTGCTGACTCCGAGGGCCGGCTGCCGACGGCGACGGCGAGGCCGACGCGCCGACGGCGGCGACGCGGAGCCGACGCGGGCACCCCTCGGGAGCCGAGGCCGTGCGCCGCGCTCGTGGCGCTCTGCGGCACCTCTCGATCCAGATCGACCCGTGATGGCCCCGGGGCCCGCAGCTGGGCGAACACGCCTGGCGCGCAGAAGCCGCAACGCCCGGATCTGGGCGACGAGCGGCGGCGGCGGCGACGTCGACGACGACGACGAGCGGCGGCGGCGGCGAGCGGGGCACCGCCCGGAGCAGCGACGGCGGCGCCGGCCCTCCGCCGCTGGGCGCCCCGCTGAGGGCCGAGGAGCAGAGCGCCATGAGCGCGGCGCACGGCCTCGGCTCCGGCGGGTCCCGAGGGGCGCCCGCGTCGGCTCCGCGTCGCCGCCGTCGGCGCGTCGGCCTCGCCTTCGCCGTCGGCGGCCGGCCCCTCGGAGTCAGCAGGCAGGGGTCGCCGTGGGCAGGACACCCATGCCGTAGCCCCAGGGCCCTCGGCGCCGACCGAAACCGAGCCTGCCCGAGTTGGTCGAGAAGGACTCGACGACGCGGCAGCGGCGCATCATCCGACCGAGCCGAGCCGAACGCAATCGACTGCGACGCGTCCGAACCGACAGAACTGCGGACGCTCTTGCTCCCAGACCTCCGACGTCGTGATCTGTTCACAGCGCGGACCCGTGCACGGACGCAGAGCATTGGTGACATGCGCGCCTTCTTTCAATCTGCGTGTGTCATTAGTCGTCGTCGCCGTCGCTGCCAGCTGCGCCGTCGCCGATCTCCTCGCAGTCGTCGTCGGCCTCCTCTGCCCTCGGCTCTCCGAGGGCTCCCGGCGGCTCCGCGTCGTCGCCGTCGCTGGATCGAAGTCTTGGGGCGTCTAGTGGGCCTCTGGGGCCGCCCTCGTGGCCACAACTGGATGCGCTCGAAGATCCTGGCCAGAACGCAGCCCAGGAGGGGTCGTCGCCGCCGTCGCCGTCGCCGTCGTTGTCGTCGTCGCCGCCGTCGCCGTCGCCGTCGCCGTCGACGTCGCCGTCGTCGTCGTCGTCGTCGCCGTCGCCGTACCCGCCGCCGCCGCCGCCGCCGCCGCTATCGTCGTCGTCGTCGTCGTCGTCGGCGTCGCCGTCTTCGTCGTCGTTGTCAACCTTCTTGGCTCGTAGGATGTAGGACCTTTACAGCGTTGTGGGACCGCGTAGAACACAAGCGAGCCTCCTTGCATTCACCCCCCGCTGGCGAGCTCTCTTCCTCCTGCTCCTGCTTCGCCTCATTCCTCTCCTCCTCCTATTTCTCCTCTTCCCCGTGCTCCTCCTCCTTCTCCTCCTTCTTCCCCTGCTCCTCCTGCTCCTGCTGCTGCTGCTGCTTCTGCTGCTCCTCCTCCTCCTACTCCTCCTCCTGCTTTGGGCCCATCTGTGCGGACAAACTTCGACGCGAAACAAGCGAGCCACTATTGGGCCACCGGTGCGGTAATCAGCAGAGAAGACGAGCACCGCACTGCAGCAGCTGCTGCTGCTGCTGGTGCTCCTGCTTCTTCTTCCCCTCCTCCTCGTCACTCTCCTCCTCCCTCGCGCAACCCGCCGCGGGGCCAGTCACCCAGGTCGGGGCCCCGCGGGTGGTGACCCTGAGGCTCAGGGATGCCTCAACACTCAAGGCTTGGGAAGAGCAGGCAGAGTCGAGGAGAAAACTTCCAGAATCGGGTCGAACTTCACTTTGTGAGGCTTCTGAGCTTCTACAGGAGTTCTGTTTTCCCCAACCAGTGCTTGCACATTGGGTTTTTCATTATAATTTCTGTGCAACTGGATGGGTGTCCCAACGCTTGGCCACCTCCCAGCTTATTGCCGCCCCGTTGCCGCCTGTGGGGGTGTCCTGGGGATTCGCCACGTTCCTGCTTATTGCCGCCCCGTTGTCGCCTGTGGGGGTGTCCCCAGGATTCGCCACGTTCGGGCTTGTTGCCGCCTCCTTGCCGCCCGTTGCCGCCTGTGAGGCTGTCCGGGGGATTCTCCATGTTCCGGCCCGTTGCCGCCCGTTGCCCGCCGTCGCCGCCTGTGGGGGTGCTCTGGCCAATTGCCGGTCATTGACGCCTGTGGGGGTGTCCTTCGGATTCGCCACGTTCTGGCCCGTTGCCGCCTGTGGGGGTTTCCCGAGGGTTCGCCATGCTCCTGCCCGTTGCTTTCACCTGCAGTTCACCACACAGCTTACACCGCATCGCTTTCACCTTCACAGTGCAATATCGCACTGTTTGGGGTCCGCGCTGGCTGAGATGTAAAACGCATCCGTCGACGCTGTCGGCGCGTGTGAGAGATCGGCCGAGCGAGACCCCTGCAGAGTCGAGCATGTCGGAGCTCTTCGAGCGACGCCCAAGCAGCATCTACCCATCTCACAGCATGTTCAGGCAACTTCCACACACCACCAGGTCATCGCGTACGATGCCACACACGCAAGGGAAGCCTTTTTCTGTAGCCCTTCCCCACCAAGGGAGGGGCGGGGGGGCCGCGCGCGCGTGTGTGTGTGTGTGTGTGTGTGTGTGTGTGTGTGTGTGTGTGTGTGTGTGTGTGTGTGTGTGTGCGTGCGTGCGTGTGCGTGTGTGTGTGTGTGTGTGTGTGTGTGTGTGTGTGTTGCGGGACTCCTGTATCCAAGGGGGCTACTGGCCATTTTCTATGTAGTCGATGCAATTTTTGATGTCATCCCAGACCGACAGGGTAGACGGACATCAGGGCAACACATACTGATATGATGGCATGGGTTGGTTAGCTCTTGTGTGGTGGCAGGGGGGGACCCAACATGCTGCTAACCCAAAAGCTGGGACCGTTTCGTCCCCTCGTCATTGAGCATGCCACAATCGTTTAGAACGACTCTCCTTGGGCGTGGGCCTCGTTGCCCCAATCTCGCCGACGCGGAGACGAAGAAGAAAAGAGCAGAGTGCTCCTGGGGCCGACACCAATCATCGGTACACCGGGCCGGGGTCCTGCCCAAGTCTCTCCGGGGATGCAGTGGGAACGGCGTGGCTAGCTCGATCGAGGCTTCAGACCTTAAGGCTGTCTTATTTCCAGGTGTGTAGGTACGAACCTGGATAGTCGGTAGGCAAGTCTCTCATGGCCATTGAATGTGGCTAGCGGCAGGGCCCGCTCGTGATTGTGACAACGGATGCGGACCACACCTTTGCAGTTGTCCTGAATCAGAATGCGGTCACATGGGCCGTGAGGAACAAACTGCTGACAGAAGCCCATCTGCTGCTGATGAACCTATAACGCTGGGCGCTATGCAAACACCCTATTGCTGCTCTCCTTCCAAGCCTTCACCGCTTCGGCTGGTCTTGGATCGAGGTTCACAAGATTAGGGACGATGATGGGCATGTCTGGGACCTCAGGGAGCCCCCCGACATATTTGACTATTCGGTCAAACACGGGGTTTAGAGAATACGGGGGGGGTCCTTCACCGTGGCCCGTGATGAACGAGGTCCTCCACTTCAAGAAGGGAAAGCTGCCTGTCAGGGCTCGCAGGTCTCTCAAGGGCTCTGCACGGGGCCTCACTGGTGCCAATATCGGGCTGCAAGGCCTTCAGTGGGCAACCCGAGGTGTGCCTGAGATGCCAAGCTGTCCGCGGCACGTCCTACCACAATTTTTCGTGTGCGATACCTTCCACCATTTCCGTTTGAGCTGGATGCCCGATGTCTTGAAGACCCCTGTGAGACGCATGCGAGACAAACTCAAATTCCGCCAGCTGCTTTTCTCCAGGGGCCTGCTGCCATATCGTGCCCAAGCTTTTGCTCATCGAAGCAGGAACCCATCACGCAACTTTATTGATATGGACAAGCAAAGTGTCGCACATATCGAGAACGGACATGTCTTCACTGATGACAGCGGCTTTCTCACGGACATCCCGTACAAGAGGCGTGCTGGATGGTCAGTGGTGGTCTAGGTCGGCGACAAGCGTGAAGAACAGATAATATGGCACGGTTCCGCGAGCGTCCTGCCCATGACAAGTGGCGAGTGACGGCGAGGACCATGCGATGCTCATGGTCAGTCGAATGGTGCTCGGCAGCTGCACGGTCTACTCGGACTGCAGGGGTACCCTCGGCCAATGCAGAAATATTCAGCAGGCGGTCAGCTCGCATTGCCTTCGTTCGACCTTCTGCCGACAAGTGACAGCAAATGGGGAGTTTGCGCACAAGAGTTTTGTGTATGCCAAGGGACACTGGATAGGCGTAGATGTGCGTGAGTGGGTGGTCACACAAATTCGCAAGACAGGCAATGATCAGGCTGACCAATTGGCAAAGCGAGGTGCTACCGCCAACCTTCCTTACACGTCCACTTTGTCATAGGATAAAGGAGGTTCCGCAGCATGCTGTTGCAATACCTAGGCCATTTCCAAGCCTGATCGTGCGACAGCAACCCAGAAGGGCTCGACTACCACTTTCTCGAGGCAGTTGAGGCTGGGAGTTCGACGCAGAAGGCAATTCAACCTACGACGGCCCTTCATGAATGACGAAAATGATATCTTGATGGAGCCGTGGAAGATTGCTGGACGCTGTATTCTTGAATATTTCAGCACGGGGTCCAAGAACCATCGTGGTCTTAAGTACAAATGTTCCAGCAAGTCGAGGCCTGGCCACATTGTGAACAGCACGAAGCTCTTTCACAACCTTCGCCACCCCCAGAGCTTGCACAAGGATGTGAGACTTGAGTCGCCGCGCTCGCCCAGTGATTTCGCCAAGGGTATTGTCAGTGCGGCCAAGAGGTGGGAGGATGTGCGCAGGCCTCGCCGGGCCACTTCAAGCCCCGCCAGAGGCAGACTCCTAGACACAGCCAGAATCCTGGACGCGTGCGGCCTGACCTACGACGAAGTCCTTGAGCTGGGCCAGGCCGAAGACGATGATAACCTTGATAAAGATTGAGTTCCCTTGGAATGAGGTGAGTCGGGAACTCCGTTGGACGTGTGCAAGACTTTAGAACTGCTGGCTTCAAGGAGTCAAAAATCTTGGCGTTTGAACGCCAGGGCGATGCCCCGGCCCAATGCTCAGGACGATGCCCAGAGCGCAGGACGGTCCGAGGAGATCGTTTCAATCAGCGGGTTATTTCCACTGTTAGTTCCACTACAGACGGAATGGCGTTTGATCCCCGTCACCCATATTCAAATCCTGCCGAGGGCAGGTTCAGCATTGCGGCAAGGTGTCGTCCTTCCTGGGCCCTTTGGGATTGCAGCCGAGCTGGCCCCTAGGATACTCTGAGGTTGGGCGCACCCAGCCAGTTTTGCATGGATTCGTGGTGCTCTTCGGTTTCCATGTCTCGGTCGTGGTGGCCTTGGAATTCTATGGCGTTGCCGTGACGCTGCGG